TGTTTCTACTCCAGTCCCATTTTTGTAACATATACCAAGATGAGCTTGTGCAAAGGCATTACCTTGACTGACTGCTTTTTGATATAGCTCAATTGCTTTTCTAACATCCCTATTTACTCCAATTCCCTTCTCATAATGTCGACCAAGGTTATATTGTCCATAGTCATTTCCACCTTCAGCTGCTTTCTGAAACAATTCCACAGCTTTTTGATAATTTATTTCTACACCAAAACTACTTTTATAATAATCACCAAGATTATTTTGTGCTTTAGCATTTCCTTGTTCAGCTGCTTTTTCATACCATTCAACTGCCTTTTGTTCATTCTTTTCTACTCCATTTCCATTATCATAACACAAACCAAGATTATATTGTGCATCAGCATTTCCTTGTTCAGCTGCCTTTTCATACCATTCAGCAGCCTTTTGTTCATCCTTTTCTACTCCAATTCCAAACTGATAACAGCAACCAAGATTATTTTGTGCATAAGCATTTCCTTGTTTAGCAGCTTTTTGATACCATTCAACTGCCACTTGTTCATCTTTTCCTACCCCAGCTCCAAACTGATAACAGCAACCAAGATTATTTTGTGCATAAAAATTTCCTTGTTCAGCAGCTTTTTGGTACCATTCAACTGCCTTTTGTTCATTTTTTTCTACTCCAATTCCATATTCATAACACCAACCAAGGTCATTTTGTGCATCAGCAAGTCCTTGTTCAGCTGCTTTCTGATACCATTCAGCAGCCTTTTGTTCATCCTTTTCCATTCCAGTTTCATAATGATAGCAATTAGCAAGATTAAATTGTGCATCATTATTTCCTTGTTTAGCAGCTTTTTGATACCATTCAGCTGCCTTTTGCTCATTTTTTTCTACCCCAGTTCCAAACTGATAACATAAACCAAGATTATTTTGTGCATAAGCATTTCCTTGTTTAGCAGCTTTTTGATACCATTTAACTGCCTTTTGCTCATCTTTTTTTACCCCAGTTCCAAACTGATAACAGCAACCAAGATTATTTTGTGCATAAGTAATTCCTTGTTCAGCTGCCTTTTGGTACCATTCAACTGCCTTTTGTTCATTCTTTTCTATTGCAATTCCATGTCTATAACAATAACCAAGATTATATTGTGCATTAGCGTTTCCTTGTTCAGCTGCTTCTTGATACCATTCAACTGCCTTTCGTTCATCTTTTCCTAATCCAGTTCCATTTCTCTTTGGTTCATTCTCAGAAATAGTAGGACTCATTTTTGTTCCAATCAGTTATTATCTTTGCTAAAAATTTCTTGCTAACTTTGAGTGTAAATAATACAAGCGGCCGACTCTCGATATAACATAATCATTTGCTTCTTATACCAGTACTACATTCATTCGGGGGTTCAGTATTACAAATCTATGATTCGTTATAAGAGAAATTCGGTGAAACGAAGCACTCTCTTTGTAACGAAGTCTGGCCGCAGTCAAATAATACTCGGTATATTGAGTAAACGAGGTTTATTAAGAACCTTAATTCTACAGCCTTAAGACTTTGAGATTATTAGCCGTAATTCTTATTTATTTGATATATACCTCTCTCCTACAGGACTTCGTAATTTGCGATGGAAGTACTATATTCACAATGGTTATTGCTAAGTAAAAAAGATACTCGATGCAGTCAAACCTCGATATAGTGAAGGGGCATTTTTTTTTCACTATACCGAAAATTCACTGTATCGAAATCTTAAAGTTTATACTAATGCTGTTTTTGGATCAGAGGAATTCTTTACTATAGCGCGAAATTCACTGTATCAAGAATCGAGGTTTGACTGTAGCAATTGCTCATAATAATAAGAGTAAAGAGAGCCGTTCATTCCCCGACAACCGTTATCTTTTGTCGATAGTTGATCTAGGTAAAAGGCGTTTGGTAAATATTGATGAAATTACAGTTTGACAAACGTTTGAGTTAATTTTACATAATAAATTTTTGGGAAATAATTGTCAACCAGGGTACTATTCAGTAGTCTATGGTATTACATACTAATACGTTCGTTCACATATTTGTGTTTTACTTATTGACGTTTGTGACATTCGAGAGAAACTGATATATGTATATCTATAATAAATAAATGTTTAATCCCCATTTATCTGCTTCTAAGCGAATTTAATGATGGCGAATTTTATCAGTAACATAAAATCGAGTAATGACAGCATCCAGATAAATTGTATGTCAACGACCAAACGGTAAATAACGTATTATGTTTATATGCATATAAGTTCGTTGATCTGACAATAGACAAATAAAAGGTGCAAAGAACTTCTTTCATGTCACCGTATTGTACGTTTTAAAGCCTTGGGGAGAAAAAGTTAAGGTCTTAAACAACTATGAAGGAAACTTTGCATATTGTAAAATAAAAATGGAGTCAAATGACTGTGACTCACATGACATGATTGTGTGGAGTAAATGAAGACTGATTACTAAGCTCGACTGTATTCTTGAATGGAATACTAATAAAGTACCAACACATTACACGAACTTTGTGAGCTGACATATTAACCAATATTAATATCAGTTCGTAGATCACAAGGATCCGATAAGAAAGCTCGTAGTTAATCTAGCACAGAATGAATGCTCTTTATCGCTAATACCGCCGAATTGTTTATCAAAGCCTTTATTTATGTTATTTGGTACAAACAATAATCCCATTGCTGAACATGTAACACACGCAACTTTGTTACACCACATGTCCAAAATTCGTTGTATTAATGAGACGTCGTCTTGTCAGCAAGAAAGTGAAGAGCGCTTTGATGGTTAATTATACCAGAGCAGCTGGGATAGTGGCCCTTAGGGACATTAAAATGTATGTTTAATTATCTTCCCGTAATTGCCCGTGCAGTAAAATGCTGTTCTAAATAAGAATGTTCATAAAACTTAGTGATCTCAAGAATGCACCACAACAAAGGAGGGGACTGTTTGGCAGAAGGGTAAAGATAGCAGCAACCTTCGAATTAGGTAATAGAAAGCTCGAAACAATAAAGGTTTCCCTGTGAGTATTAATTGGCTTGCGGAATCTTTCACAGCTCCAGCACTAGAGCGATAGTCGATTAATCCATTTCGAATTTCTTACTGATTGACTGTTATAGAGATGAAACAAAGGCGGTGCAGGGGTTTGAACATATGTTGTTTGAGTTACATCCTGGTCCACCTTCCACTCCAATATCGACTATTCTCTCTGTGGTTTGCTTCAATGCCAACGGGAAAGGTATGGATGCAATTCTGGGAGAATGCAAAGTAGATCTCGCCAAATATCGTATTTTAGATGATCTATTCCCCGTTGTCGGTAAGTACATATAAAGCCGGTACGATTTATACCTTATTGACATGAGATGCTAAATTACGTATTTAAAATTTTAGTTGTTGAAAATTTAAACAATTATGGTGAAATGGTTGGCCAGGTCCGTTTTCAAATGGTTCTTATGCTGCCGGGTCCTCCGCGGACTCTCTCTCAGGATGTATTGTCATCAGATTTAAAAGGACATCGTATTGCCATGGCCGTCATACGCAATATTAAAAGGTATTAAGCGTATCTTATGCTCTCTGCCTATAGTAAATTTGCGGGCGGGTCTCCCTCAATTCTTGATTTCTTTCGTTCAGTCGTCGGATGATCCGACACGACATGCATCTAGAGTTTGCTCTATCGGGGCCTGGCGATAATGAGACGTATACAACCCATCCTTTCTGGAAAGTATCCGATCGGGAATGTACACGTCCGATAGTTATGGACTTGGTAGCTTCTGGGGATGTGGTGCTGACTGTTAGGTGTAAAACACCCGGGTTCAGACTAATTTCTACGGCTGTTAGTCGAATTTTTTCGAATCTATCTGTTTGGGCTGAACTCGTCAATGGTTCATTTACTGATGGTAAGATTCGTCTCAGTAGGAAATTTGTAAGCTTGTCGACATTACATTAAAGTTTACAACAAACATTCATAACTTAATATTAACTAGGTCGCGGCGTTAATAGTAAGTCTTGTTTGTTACTTTTAGTATTGCTTTTATCACGACTCTGGGTTGAATTGACGTGCTTATCTTTTGTCTAGTTGGTCAAGTAAGGTTTCTAGTGGACGGCGGAACTGCGGGTGATGCTGAAATCGAACTATCTATTCATTCCCTGGCGACTTGGGACGCGATTCTTGGGGATGACGGATGCCGCTCTTTCGACCAGCCAGAGAGGTCTATGGCAATGCCCTCTTGTCGGAGTGGTGGTAACGACTCTGAAGTAGGTTCGCGAAGGCCAGTGTCTGAAAGGAGGACTAAAAGCGTGCGCTACATGCTTGGAGACGAACCGGTTAATTATCCGAGAAATGATATCGACTATTCTCCGAACCGTGAACCTTCAAGAGGGATACTCAGAAGTGCCACCGAGCCTACTAAACGTAGAGGTGAACAATGTTTGTAAATGGTATTATCATAATAATCGCATAGATTAGATTCATTTTTAACGCTTTTAACAGCATCAAAAGCGTGAAATTTTTTTTATATCCGACGGATTGCTTCAGCAATCTTGTATTATTAGTATATAGCTGTAAATTATATATCTCCACACTGTATATTTCGAAGCCTTTTATAAAGATTAATCAGTATCATAGTCTCCCAAAATTATACCATTTCGTAGAGTAGGACTGTATAATTTTCTGATCAAGACCGCTTTCCTTACCATCATGGTGTTCGCCAAATACTCACGAGGTGCTTCGTGGATAGATACAAAAAAGGAAAGAAGCTAATTGCATAGTAAGTTCCTTGCGCGTGTATACCAAACCTCCCCACATCATATATGGGGCTTTGATTGAGGACTTACGCGTTTATCATACTGCGCATGCTCAGTTGGATCTATTATCAATTTGTGAAATTCTGCTGATTGCCTTCATTGAGTTTGAGTCTATCGAGTGACAAAACTAAAACGTGTTGCTTGTATCGGTTAATGTTTGTTCTGGCTGTACTTTTAGATAAAGAAATTTTGTTTGACACTTACGGAAAGAGCCTAATTCTCAGCGAAAAGTGCTTTCATGCTAAAAAACCCAAGTGTCCTATCATTCTTATTCAATGGATAACATTTTCTGTGACCGAAGTTTCCATTTGGGTCAAAGTTTTTGCACTTAAATCGTTCTCTTATCCTTGTGGAGGTCCACCATTTTTTTGCGCGTGATTCTTACGATTTTATTTCCCTATGTCCACGGAACGCTGGCTGTTGTTTATCTATACTAAAGTCGCTAATTGAAGATTTTCTTCTCCGCGATCCGCCAATGTCGATGACCACCAGATCGTAACTTGCCTCTTTCTACGTCTCTGCCTCGGACCAGCTGAAGTGGATGGGCCTTCTTCATCAGAAGTGGCAGAGAATACTTCGTCCTGTTCACCAGCTACCCCACCAATACTCTATTTATTCGTCGGCATCTGAATAATCTTCTTCAGCTGCACCGACTTTCTAATAGCAGACGTACTCTCAAAGACCGAATGATTCTCTTTATATGCTTAATTAATTCAACGCTATGCACCGCGGCAGGATCAACCTGTAGTGATAGTAATTATACTTGTCTTAATATACGATGATATCACTATAGAAACTAATCATGCGACAACTCTTACATGTTCCTTGGAATGCGATTCGGCTTATAGCGATTGGACTCTTTATCTAGCGTATGTAATCCATTCCTTGTACAAGTTTCGTCGTATTCATCCTCATAACTAATAATGGATTAGTTCACACTTTTTCTTTCCTATTTCGACTCGTTATCACCAAAGATATTCCTTCGAACCTTCCTCGGGCATGGAAGGTGATGATGCCGACATTGTCTAATAATAATAAACATGTATGACATTAAGTATGAGAAGATAGCGAATGGGTTCGCTAGAACAGTATTCAAAAACTCATGCTAGTCAATTAAGGAGCAATATAACAATAGCTAATATTACAAAAAGATTATCCATATTAGAGATCGCATGTGATGTCACCTTAGATAGTCGCTTAAATTTCTCCGCTTTTTAAGGTATCTCCTGAACCACTTCTCTTATACTGTAGTCGCAGATATATTATAAATCAACGAACGTCGTGCGTTAAGCTTCTGACTCAAATTAAATTCCATCCTGATACCCAGGAGAAGAGGTGCATGCAAATGTTTGAACTGGTTTAAATGTTCAATAAACGAGAAGAGATATCATTGAGGCTATTGAATATCACTTAACATGCCATCATTGTATTACGAGGCAGTAAATGATAAACTAAGGCTTCAAAATATTGATATCAAAATCACTGCCTGATGCTATCCGCTATATCCATCATCAAAAATATTTGCCATTCAGATCTACTACCACAGATCATAGGTACAGTACAATGTCAATCACATTCTCGACGATATAATTAGATTTAGTATTAGCATACACTATTACAAAATCTGAAACGGAAACAGCTTCACGTGTAGAGAGTTTCCGCAAGAGCTATGCATTCGTGCATGATACTGCGTTCACAGATCGTAATATATCGCTAAGACTTCTCTAGCTCTGATACCGAATAACTAGTGGTCTCGTAGATCTTGGCGTATTTGAAGTCGAAGAAATTTCTTCAAACGCGAGTTTCTGTAACAATATTGGGTGTGAATCCTTGATCTAGAACTTTTAACTTTATTTTACCCGTTTGCTTAGGCTTTTTTTAAACCATTATTTTCCCTTGGCGTTTAGTCAGTAATTATTACATTATCTCCTAAATTATTATTAATAGTCTGAGCATAGAAATTCATGTCTCGTCTCGCGGGAAATTATTGCAATTTGGTCTTGCTCAATTTTTTCAACCCTACAGTTTACTTTGTATTGAGGTATCAAAAACGCATTTCTCGAATTGAGTATGTTTGCTTTTCTTAATTGTCTTTATTATATGTAGTTAAAGCATTGTATAGGAAAAAGACTGTGTACTTGAGCTTGACGTTTTCTCTTACAGACAGTAAGGCCATAAAACACCCATTTTATCTACGAGCAAAGCGTGTTGTTTGTCGTGGATAATTGACATGTTCGATATGTCTCCGTACAAACACAGATATTCAAAGTTGTTTACCGTTAGAACGTCTTCACACACGACTTATTGCGACTGTCATGATAGAAACTCACGGCCTTTGAAGAAATTAGCATCGTTTACACGCTAGCACGATGCGAGTTTTTATTGTGTCCAAACAAACGCGAAGTGCTATAGTTAACGTAATCAATTCTTATTGCATACTAATTTAGTCAGATTCAGTTTATGTATTTTAAGCGCAAGTTTTAAGTAACTATTATATATAATAAATTGTATAATTATGTATCAATTGAAATTCTCTTTGCTATTATAATTGTTACTACGTAAATAAATAAACTTGACTATTGCGTCCAAACCGGCATGCCAAGCAGCCAGCTTCAGGGACAGATTCTTCACAAGTAGCTAAGTAATTACCGAATCAGCTGTCTATTTCCCCCATTGGTCACCGGCAAAAGAATAAAGTTAGTTTATAACGTAAAGCAATGCGATACTTATCTTATACCTACCCAAAATCTTCTCCCTGTCATCTAAAAGCTGTGTAAAAAAAAAGAAAGAAAAGAAGACGTCTGACTAATGTAATGGGTGATAGTACTTTCAATAGCCTAATCGTTAGTTTCATCGACTGCTTAAAACTTGGTAATCAATCAGCGAGTAATACGGTTGGTTTATTATATTAACTAGAAAAAAAAAGTTCTTTGCATGATTATTTAACAACGATTGTTCTGTTATATCTTTGTCTTGTTCTGCTCGTTCGTGCTCTCTGGTTTACTCTATACAAGCATCCCGTCTACAAGAAAGAAACCTATAATACAATAATAAGGTGGAATCACGGCACGGTTATCTCGCCTTCCTTTGCATTCAACTAGCCCCAAGTAAACCAGCTAGTTATCCATGTCACCCAACTAATTCCCGTATCCCATACTCTCTTCTTTAATATCACCAAAACCACCAGTACGAATACTAACAATCCGAATATAATCAGTAACCTATCCGTCCAGTCACTCTGTTCCAATTTGGTAATCAACTGTTTCGAGCCTCTAACCAAAGATGAAAAGCTGCGATATTCAGAGTAGGCGGTTTTTAGTGTTCGCGAAGAGTCGTCTGTTCCCAGAGATTGGAGGAGCAGGAGAAGAAGCAAAGCAGTTAGTTTAGGGAAAGAACGCCGAATGCAATCCGTAAACGACAAAACAGGGTAAACGAAACATTGATGTCGGCTCACCAAGTACTTTTGCAGAATAGGCGCTTCGCTCGATCTCTTGTCGCATTAGCTGTGTTGTTCGACGCAGCGACTCTGTCACGTCATTCGCGGCATGAAGAATGGCATCTTCTGAACTGTATAAAAATATTGGGTGATACAATCAGTTGGGAAAACACAATGTCGCAACAATCAACTTTTGTGTGTTGGTATCAAACCTACTTTGGATTCCTTCTTCTCAATTCGATATCACTTTTTTTCCCCTCGGCAAGTTCTAATAACTCTGATCTTGCCAATTTATCTATATTCTGCTTTGACGCTACAGTTGCTCGTCGGATTGAAACTTGAAGACTTCCCAATTGTGACGAATAACGGAGAGATGGGGGTTTTTTAGAAACGTTAGACATGGAATAAAAAGTTTAGGAGCCATTCATTGAGACTTTTGGCGTTCCCAACTCACGTTCTATGATGGTCTTCATTTCTTCGTAATCGTTGTAATATAGCGTCACGGTCTTTAGCTTTTTCTTGTTCGTCAGCAAGTTGCTTCAGATCCTTTTATACATCGCAATTCTCTCATCAATTCCTCTTTTCCATTCGACCATTGCTTCGTTTCGTCAAATCCTGCCACACCTATTGTTATCACCAACCTCAATTTTCCTAGCCAGCTCCTTTACGCCATTCCGTAAATCGGCGGTATATTCTTGATGCGTAGCAGAATCAGTAATGTTTTTCAACGCTGTCACTTTGGTTTCGAGTTCATATTGCTTTCTGTTTAATGATTCAAATAAGCGAAGAGCTTCTGTATTGATAGTTGTCATCGCCGAACGAAACGGATGACTAGTATTCCTTCATTAGTAAATTTATGTGACACAAACAATCCTTGATTTATTATTGGTGGATCGCAGAATACAATATTGAGAGGTTGTTGTTATTTAATTTTCTATGCTCTGTCGCTCAATCCTATTTATGTTCTGTTTGTAGGGATAGCAAATATTCATCGTTTTGATATTTTATAAAGTCTGACTTCGTCATTCAACTAAAAAGTTCTCACAAAAACTTTTGTGTATTTAATAATTCGGGTTAGTTGCTTCTTCATTTGCCAAACTAATAATGATAAAGTCTAATAGTGAGCTATAGATTGTATTATTGCAGTATTGGAAATATAAAAATGAGAAGTACCATCTCAGGGCAGTGATTTTCGCGCTTCTATAAAATTGAATGTATTAGTATTTACACATCACATCGTTAAAGTAAAAATTGTCTTCTATTTAATACCTCTTTAACCATGTTTTTGAAAACAGAAAGTAATGGGTTGGGTCAAATATTTTGAATTTTATTTTTTATTTTGAACGGATAACCATTGACCGTCCAAGCCTTAATTACGGTATTACCCATTTTTTTCATCCTCGATCAAATAAAGACATACACTGCTAGACCCAATACGTGAAAAAAACTCCAGGTTTTGTAAATCCAGAGGTTAAATTCAAATTAATTTTTATTATTATCCAAGTAAATTAATATACCATTTCAATGCGTAAAAATACTAAAATGCGAGGGCAAATCCAGACATTTTAAACTTAACCTTAAAAAGAAGAAGCAATACATCACCCCTTGCTTATAATTTTTTTGTTAAAAAAAAAATTGGAACTGTACAACTAATAACTCCATTCCCATGCACACGTTTAATTATCTTACTCGCTTGCATTTAAATATATTGAACGAGGAAGATTTATCGACTATCCATAGAGCCCGCCGTCGTTCGGTCCATTATTAAGGGGATGGAGACACCACGTGGTTTGGCATTTCTGTACGAAGCGATCCGTCTCCATCCTTTCAGTATAAAAACGATAGGAATAAAGTTAGTGAATGCAAGATAAACGTAAGTTTATGATGTTAGTAGTAATATTAAAAAATTCATCAATTTACTCAAAGGTAATTCTCTCCTCTTTTTATGACATTCACCTTTTACTGTCTGGGAGTGGTACCGACACATAATGACAGTTGCAAGTGCAATAATGACGAAGGCGATAAAAGTTAAACAAGTGAGCTTAGTCATTTTGCTGGACATTATCAAAGACGTCTTCGATTTTAGAGTAGTTGCGGATTGGCGCGTAAAAGTGGCAAAGAATGTGAGAATTTGGTATTCGTATTATTGACTAGGACCAGGCTCAGTCGAGGAAATTGTTAATATCCATCGGGAAGTATTCTTATAGCGTATTTATACTTGATAGTTGCTCGATGATCGGCGAGACAAGTAAAGTGCCTAGATACTGTATCTGTCATACATAAGATATTTATTATCACTTGTGGGGTTCATAGATCTATTACTGCTTATGGGATAAGCTGTAAACAATGCTGTTACAATCAAGCTTTCTAGAATCCCTTCTCATTATGTTTGTGTTAATAATGTTTCTAACTCGATCTGTTTGCACACGTTAGTATTAAATTGATCTGAAAACCATTGTGGAAGAATAGCTTTTAATCAACATGCCAAAATTATATTGGACTTGTCCTTAGAACTATGTTTTATTCCCTTGTCGAGTGTTTAGTGACGTTAACGCAATTGACGTGAGTGGTAAGTCGACTAGCCTCTACCTTAACAAAAGCAAAGATAATAATATGCGCTATAATAATAATAACAACAACAACAATAATAACAACAATAATAACAACAATAATAACAACAATAATAATAACAAGAGACTTTTTTTAGTAATGACAACAATGACGGACACATGAATTCCTGATGACAGTAGCACAATAATATTGCAAAAAATCCAGATAATAAATCCGAACGTATTACACAGTGAAAGTCGATATAACGGATTCGTCGGGACAGGCACCAAAACCGTTATATCGTGACAATCCGTTTTACCG